TGAATTTGAATTTGAATTTAAATTTGAATTTGAATTTAAATTTAAATTTGAATTTTCTTTTTCTTCAAAAGCGTTTTTTCGCTGCTGCGCCTTTTCGCCGTGGGGTGTCTCGCGCCGCTGCGGTGTATGTACACCTGAACAGCAAATTCAAATTCCTTTTTCTTCTTTTAAAAATAAATAATTCATTTATTTATTTTGCTGCTTCATTTTGGATTCTATTCTGAACAAAACTACCCACAAAACCCTGCTGCTGCTGCTGCTGCTGTTCGCGCTGTTGCTGCTGCTGCTTGTGCTGCTGCTGCTGCTGCTGCTGCTGCGGCTTACCGCCATATACTTGAATCGGGGAATATTTATGTCTCGGTTTAGTACTATTTCCAGCAGCAGCAGAGGAGTCTTCTTGCTGCTCTGCTGCTGCTGCTGCTGCTGCTGCTGCTGCTGCTGCTGCTGCTGCTGGGTGATGGTGCTCATTCCTTTCACGAACATGAGCGTGCTGCTGCTCGTGCTGCTGCTCATGCTGCTGCTGCTGCTGCTGATGCTGCTGCTGGTGGTGAGGGGGATTACGGTGCTGCTGCTCATGGTAGTGGTGGTGGTGCTGCTGCTGATGATGATGCTGCTGTTGATGATGCTGCTGCTGCTGCTGCTCATGCTGCTGCTGATGCTGCTGCTTTTGCTCTTGATGCTGATGATCTTGCTGCTGCGGCTGCTTCTCATGATGCTGCTGCTGATGATCGTGCTGCTGCTGACGCTGCTGCTGCTGCTGCTGATGGTGGTGGTGCTGCTGATGCTGATGCTGCTGGTGATGGTCCTGCTGCTGGTGGTGGTCCTGCTGCTGCTGCTGATGGTGCTGCAGCTGCTGCTGCTGCTCATGCTGCTTTTCATGCTGCTTCTGGTGGTGCTGCTGTTGGTGGTGTTGCTGCTGATGGTGGTGCTGCTGGTGGTGGTGCTGCTGCTGATGGTGTTGCTGATGCTGCTGCTGCTCGTGCTGCTGCTCCTCGTGCTGCTGACTGTGCTGCTGCTGCTGCTGCGGCTTGTCCTTTTGTTTGTGTTGCTGCTTCTCGTGCTGCTGTTGCTGCTCATGCCCCTGCTGCTGGCTGTGCTTAGTGTCGGGATTTGATGCAGATTTTGTCCTTTCTTTGTCTGCTGCTGCTGCTGCTGCTGCTGCTGCTGAGGGTTTGTGTGTCTGCAGCAAGGAGAAAGGCTGCAGTGCAAAAATGGAATAAATACTTTTGCTGCTTTTGCTTCCTATTCCACGGCCGTCAACATTATTGTCACTTGCTGCTGCTGCTGCTGTTGCTGCTGCTGCTGCCCCTGCTGCTGCTGCTGCAGCAGCAGCAGCTTCATCTGATGCTGCTCCTGCAGCAGACACAAATGAGTAAAGAATTGCTGCCTGGGGAAAGCAGGAGTTGGCTTTTATTCAAGTTGGATCTACTTGTGGGATCTTTTGCTTTCAATTAAAATAAAATCCATTTAATTGATTTTAATAAATTTAATTTAATTCAATTAATTCAATTAATTTAATTTAATTAATTCAATTGATTTATTCGTTTCGAAGGGGGCGTACTGGTTGAGGCCTCATCGCTGCAACACAAGAGAGTGAGCAGCAGGACAGCAGCAGCTGCCGGGAGTCTCATTTCGGTTCACATTGGCCGTTTTCTGATTTAAAAGAATCAAATTGAAGCGAAAAATGGAAAATAAAACAAAAATTGGATTAAAAAAGGACGAAAAAGCGGAAAAAAGACAAGTTTCCGGCTTTTGGGAGCGGAGAGGGAGGAGCCGTCGACGCCGGCGAGCAGCAGCAGTTTTTCGGATTTTTCTGCGAGAAAATTGAAATTCAAATTAAAATAAAGACCCAAATATCAACAAGAAAGCAAAACCGAGTTTTCTTTGCCTTCAAACATTCAAAAATGAAAAGATCTCGAGAAAGCGACAGCCCCGAGTGAGGCGGCGGCGCTGGGGTGTCTGTACGTACACCCGAAAGATGAACTGCGGGAAAAGGAACGCGAAAAGAAAAGAAAAGAATCAGAAATGTTTTTAGTTTTAATTCTTCAATTAATTATTTATAATTAATTAATTATTTATTCATTTTGAGGACAGAAGAGGGGCAGTTGGCCGCAGGTGCAGCAGCATCGTCCGCTCAGTAGACCCTGCAGCAGCTTCCTTCATAATTTCTCGTTTTGTTTCCTTTTTGTTTCCTTTTTGTTTCCTTTTCTTTCTTTCTTTCGAAACAAATTAATGATTTTAAATTTGAATTCAAATATTGGTTTATTCGGCGGTTTTGGTTTTCCATTTTTTGTCTTTTTCGGAAGTGCTGCAGCAGAATGGATAGGTCCACTGGTCTCAGAGCAGCAAATTGCTCCCAATTTTTCCAGTTTTGTTTATTTTTCAATTTAAATTCTTTATTTTATATTTTAATTCTTTATTTTATATTTTAATTCTTTATTTTATATTTTAATTCTTTGTTTTATATTTTAATTCTTCATTTTTCAATTTAAACTCTTTATTTCATCTTTTAATTCTCCATTTCACTTTCTAATTCATTTCCTTCCAACTCTCATTCAACTGTTCAAACTTGCATCACTCCCCAAAAGAATAAATAAAAAACAAATAAACAAATAATTCAATTAATTGAAATTATTTAATTTACTTATTTATATTATTTATTCATTTAATTACCTGTTCGCATTTATAATTAATTAATTGTTTTGATTAGATTTACTTTTTGATTGCGAATTAATTAAAAATTTACTTATTTCTTTTTTGCTGCTCTGGAACTTTGAAGCAGCCAGAGAGACTGGCGCAGCAGCTTCTAAACCCTAAACCCTAAACCCTAAACCCTAAACCCTAAACCCTAAACCCCAAGCAACAGGCGAACTGAGGGTTCGCTGCAGCATAAACGCGGCCACAAAAGGAAACTCCTCGACTAACTAATTGCTGCTAAATAATAAATAAATAAATAATAAATAAATGAATAAATAAATAAATAAATAATAAATAATAAATAATAAATAAATAAATAATATTTAATGAATAATTAATCAAAAAAAGAAAAAGACAAAAAGTCTGCAACTCCCCAAATGTCTACAGCGTCGCTCAAGTCCTCTCGAAACAAAACCCAAAAATGAGCAGCAGCAGCAAACAGCAAACGCCTGCACAGCAGCAAAACCTGCTGCTGCTGCTGCTGCTGCTGCTGCTGCTGGTTTTCCCGGGCATTTGCCTGCTGCTGAAAAGGCAGGCCAGGAGGGGGTGAAATTAAGGGCCTCAAACCTTTTGCTGCTGCTGCTGCTGCGGCTGCTGCTGCTGCTGCTGCTGCGTCTGTTCCTGCTGTTGCTGCTTCCGGATCAACGGCCCCGCTGCTGCAGGGGCACGCTGCTGCTGCTGCTGCTGTTGCTGCTGCTGCTGCTTGCTGCTGCGTCTCGCTCCTCTTTTCCATTTTAATTAATTGCTCTTTAACTTTTCTTTGCTGCAGCAGCGCCAGCTTTTCGCTGCTGCTGCTGCAGAAGGCAGCCAGTGCTGCTCGCCGCAGCAGCAGCAAGCCAAATGGCCCCCTGCTGCCGCCGCCGCCGCCGCTGCTGCTGCTGCTGCTGGCTGCTGCTGCTGCTGCTGCTGCTTGGAGAGACAGCAGCCGCAGCACGAGTTTGAAAAGAGATAAAACAGCAGCAGCAGAAGAAGCAAAGAAAAGAGACACCAGCCAAAGAGGCAGCAAACACTTCAGAGGCAGCCCCGATAAACATGCGCCTGCAATAATTAAACAAATAAATAAATAAATGAATAAATAAATAAATAAATAAATAAATAATTAGTTAATTAATTAATAATAATAAATAAAACTCAATGGATGGCTAGTCAACGGCGCAGTTGTTTACATGTAGCTAGCTAGCTAGCTAGCTAGCTAGCCACGTTTAGATATGCAAACCCTAACCCCTAAACCCTAAACCCTAAACCGTAAACCCTAAACCCTAAACGCTAAATCATAGCTCGAAGGACGCAAACCCTAGGCGCTGAACCCTAGACCCTAAACCCTAGAGCTCCGCATTCCCGCGCGAGTGTACTCCCGCCCTAGGGTTTAGGGTTTAGGGTTTAGGGTTTAGGGTTTGGGTACTGTCGGGGTTTGCGAATCTGGCGGAGAAGGAAGAAAGGTCTTCTTTTGAAATTAGTTCAAAAGAATTATTTTTATTTTCTTTTTGTTTCAAAAAAAGTAAACAACAAAAAGATAACCAAAAACAAACATTCCGCGGCTCCCACAGCTGAGAAAAACAAACACACTTACAAACACGAGGGTTTAGGGTTTAGGGTTTAGGGTTTAGAGCTGGGCGATTGAGGTCTACAGCGCAGGAAACCACGCACCACGGCTTGGTTAGCTAGCTAGCTAGATGGCTAGCTGTATAGGTGGCTAGCTAGCTATCTAGCTAGCCATTTGGGTGGCTAGCTAGCTAGCTAGCTAGCTAGCTAGCTAGCTAGCTATATAGGTAGCTAGCTGGCTAGCTATCAAGGTAACTAGCTGGCTAGCTAGCTAGCCACACAGCTCCCTAAGGGCTTCGTAACTACTCGGCTATCTATCTGCACACCTAGCTAGCTAGCTAGCTAGCTAGCCAGCTAGCTAGCTAGCCAGCTAGCTGGCCACCTAGTATGTTTGCCAGCCAGCTAGCCAGCTAGCCAGCTAGCATGCTGGCCAGATAGCTAGCTAGCTAGCCCGCTACCTAGCTAGTTAGCTAGCTAGCCAGCCAGCTAGCTAGTCAGCTAGCTAGCCAGGTAGCTAGCTAGCTAGCTAGCCAGCTAGCTAGCTAGCTAGCAGTGGATTGCTTACGATGAGGCGGAGAAGGACGGCGACTTTTTGTTGGAAAGAAAAAAAAGAAAAAGAAGAAAAACAAAAAGACACTGACGCCAGACTTCCACTGCGAAACAGAAATTAATAAAACAAATTATCCATTTATTTATTTATTTATTTATTTATCTATTTATCTATTTATCTATTTAACTATTTATCTATTTATCATTTACTT